TAATCTAACTATTTAAAAAGAGAAAATGCATGAGAAAATAAAAACGGTTAAAATAACGTGTGAGGCAAAAGTCAGAAAAAAATGCGCAAAAAAACACGCTAAAAAGGTTTTCCATTGTCAATAATAATAAAAAAAGACGCGCGAGAAAAATTATTTCCATCATCGGTAAAATATTTTAAAAAAACATGCGAGGAAAAAACTGTTGAAAAAACACGCCATTTCTAAAAAAATAGTTTTAAAAAACCGTGCAAGAAAAAAACACCGTCTATTAAAAACAAATCGCTCTGAAAAAACTGTCAGAAAAAAACTAAATTGATGGACGCTCGAGTCGAATGGGATCCATCGATTTTTTGCCATCTACTACATGGCTTTATTTCGTCATATATTCTCGTGTATTAGAAAAAAAGCAAAAAAGAACCTTCGAAAAAAACAAGCAAAAAAACGTGCGAGAAAACAAGAAAAAAACACACGAGAAAAAATATGGTTTTCTTCGTCAGTAAAAAAAGCAAGAAAAAACATGGTAGGAAAAAACTGTTAGAAAGAAATACGCCATTTCTGAAAAATGGTTTGAGAAAATCACGCAAGAAAAAAACACTGTTTATAAAAAAACAAGCCGCTCATTAAAATAGATACATCGTCATTGACATAACTATGCATGAAAAACGTATATTGTTATTAGAATTTTTTTACCCGTTGCAACGCACGGGTATTTTTTCTAGTAACCTAAATAATGGAATATCAAAGGATGTGCGATATATTTAAATGCAGAGAAAGCTCTCATATTACAGACAATAATCTTGCTGTCAGGAAGACAGAAAATAATATAATTTATAATGACTGTCAATTGTATTAAGAATTTGATTTAAATGAAATAGATGTATAAAAAACTTCATCGCTATTTGAAGATAATTCATTTACTATTTTTCGTGCTAAAAATTTTCATGTCAAATAAAACAAATGGTTGGAAAACACTAAAGTGTCATTTGTATATAACTTGAAAAAAGAATTAACCTATATATTCACCGTATGATTAAAATTTATAATCTATCTAAACCTATACTAATTGGGCATTTTCTAGAGCCACCACTTTAATTAGAAACTTTTGGCCATTGATTATCTAGACTAGATTGTGTTTTCAAAACCGTAGATTGTAAAATCAACAGCACGTTTAATATTGGGGCCACTGCTAAAGTGTTGAAGTCCGTATAAATATTGTACGTACATGATTGTTCATAGATTGAGAATCCACATTAATAAACGTGTTTGTTTCTATCTGGAGTTTGTTTGTTGTTTTACCGTATATACAGGATTTTCTCAAAGTTTCTAAATTATCTCTCGGACTTGCCTTAATCTAATAAATTAGTGTTTTATACACTATTACAGCCAACAGAAAGGCAGAGAGCCATATATAGGTGGTCGATGGCATCAGCAAGGGACCTCCTTAATCACCATGTAGCTAATCCTCTTTGGTACGGTATTGTATTTGTGGATACTCATCTTTACCTATATCTTTACCTCTACTATTATAAAAATTGAAGATATTTTTACCGGTACTTTGTTACGTTATCCGTGTTTGAGTCAATTTTTTAATTTTATTTTACGTTGTCTGTTAAAAAGAAAAAACAGTCCGACTCAAAGAGGTAAAAAAAAAAAGTGTCCGACTCAAAAGCGATTAAAAAAAACCTTCTGTCGTCACTCATCAGTGAAAATAGGAAAAAAATCATCTAGAGTCCGACTTCCGTAAAAAGTCTTGCCACGGGTATTTTTTCCGACTTTTTACATGCGATTGAGTTTTTTTCGCACGCAATTAGGCTCTTGGTTTTTTTTCTCTTTTTTTTAATCCGATCACGCCTCCCTGGCGCTTTTGTTTTTTTTATCAATTTTTTGTCACCGGTTTTTTCTCCCGTGCGATTTTGGTTTTTCTCATCTGGTTTTTTAATCCAATCATTCGCCGCACGCCTCCCGAGTTGAACCCAGGCACCGTGCCGCCACCATATCGATTGTGCGTTTTTTCCTCCAATTTGATTGCAAAAATCGATTCCTCATTCCTCCCTTATCATTTTCTCCATTATTTTTCCTTTCGATTCGGTTTTAATTTATCGGATTTAATCTCCTTTAACAATTGCGATTCCTCATTCCTCCATCATCATTTTCTCCATTATTTTCCCTTTCGATTCGGTTGTAATTTGTCGGATGTAATCTCCTTTAACAATTGCTGATGATGATGGCGATCTTCCCCGATCATTTTTATCCCGAGTTTTGCACTTTGATTTTAGAAAAAAATGAAAAGAGGTCATCGTGGATCAAAAAACCTCAACCAATTTTGGGTGATCGAGAAAGATTCGGCCGGATTTCCGAATTTGATGGGGAAATAAAGAGTTTTACACTCTAATTTTGGAAAAAACGGGAAGAGAAGATTGAGTGAATTAAAAACGCTTAACCAATTTTTGGTGATCGAGAAAGATTCGACCAGATTTGATGGGAGATTTGCTCCGGCAACCGTACGGCCACGGGACTAGCAACCGTACTGCCACGGGACTATCTTCGGGAGACTGGCCTAAGGTTAAAATGGAAGGAAGGCTATTGACCCTGACCCTAAACCCAGCAAAAAATTTTCATTAACTTTTTCAATTATAATGTATATAGCGATCCCAATATTTCAATTTATTGCTCAGCTCTTAATATATCAGTAAAAAAACATCTTTACCCGTTGCAACGTACAGGTATTTTTTTAGTTATATAAAAATTCAAGGTGTTTTTGCCACTGATTTCGTACGTCATGCACAGTAGTGTATTTTTTTATACGACTCTTTTTTATCCGACTCCGTCTCCGTACAGTGCACGATTTTTTTTCGGTTATCCGACTCCGTCCCCGCACCAATTAGAGAAAAAAAAAAGAGATAAAGATAAGGCACACGCAAACTTTAGTTGCTAGCTTCAGGTAATATCTATTATAAAAATTCAAGGTATTTTTGCCACTAGATTTCGTACGTCATGCAAAGTAGCGTATTTTTTTATCTGACTTCGTCTCCGTACAGTGCACGATTTTTTTTCGGTTATCCGACTCCGTCCCCGCACCAATCAGAGAAAAAAAAGAGCTAAAGATAAGGCACACGCAAACTTTAGTTTCTAGCTTCAGGTAATATATATGTCGTTCCTATTTTTTTTATATAGAATCCAAGTAAATCAATATTGCTTTACTCGGATAGAAAAATCATGATCATAGGCTGAGTAAATCAAGTCTATTCTTTATCTATTATAAAAATTTAACATGTTTTTGCCAAAAAAAAATTTCTTACATCGTCCCCGTAGTAGGCGTGATTTTTTTTCCGACCACCACGTATAGTGCGCCTAAATTTTCCATCCAAATTGCTCCCCCAGATCAGTCCTTCAGGCCCACTTTTCTCAAATGCCAATATGAACACCACAAGAGCACCCTATATTATCTGAACACCACAAAAACGTTGCATACATCCTATCTATCTACTATTATAAAAATTGAAGCTGTTTCCACCAAATTTTTGGTACGTTATCCATATTTGAGTTGGTTTTTTAATATTTTACCTTTATCTATAATCTATCTTTATAGTACCTATAATAAAAAAAAGAAGCAAGGATTCCATGTATTCGATTTTGTACATCGTCCATACGTGTCTAATCCGTTGCCGCGCACCTCCAGCTACCACGACACCGCCCGGGCCAAACCGGGGTACCCTGTATAGAGGGAGAAGGCCGCCCCAAGCCCACGTGGCGCCCCCCTCGGGGGTCGGGCCCGGAGTTGGAGCGGCGGCTACCTCCCATTCTTTCTAGGTGTCGGGCCACCCTGACCCCCTCCACGCTCTGTTTCACATATGTGGCCTGGGCGGGTGCTCCCCGCGCCAGCCTACCGCATTTAAAGAGGTCTTGTCAGCTGCGGCACACTAATGGGCCACTTGCAACCGGAATGACAAATGTGACGGCGGCTAGCAGAGGGCGTGGCTTGCGCCTCCCCCGTCTTGTCACCATTAATGTGGGGCTTCATGCCTCTCATTTGGACTCGCACCAGCTTTTCCCAAACTGGTCCGTTTGAGAGATCCCCTCCCAATTGTGGGGCCGGACAGTCGAAAGTCGACAACAATTAAGAAGGAATGACATGTGCGTCCGCCCGTGACGCTCGGCGTGATGGGATGGGGCCGATGCTGCGGTGAGGCTCACGTGGCTTCACACGTCGGGAGGACAAGACACCCATTAATTACCTGTAAAGAATGTTTTCCTTTCCCTTGAAGCTAGGTCTTGGGCCTTTGTGGTAATCCCTTAAGATATAAAAGGAGGTCTATGCCTGAGTGAAGGGGGGGGGGTCGCAACTCAGAGAAAGAAAGCATTTGTATTCTCCCACCAGAATCAACCACATACAGGAGTAGGGTATTACACTTCTACAGCGGTCCAAACCTGTCTAAATCGCTTGTGTCTCCATCATTCCCGAGGGGCCCGACCCCTCTGCATCTTCCAACATCGACTCTCAAAGCCTCACCCGTGTCCCTGGTTCGAACAAGGAAGGGGGTCCCCACAGTGCCCCGCTCAAGGAGTTTACCCTCCGACAGTAGTTTTAGAGCAAGAGGGTCTAGAATTACCCGTTGTTGGCGGCACTACATTCTGTGGCACAGCTTGAAAAATTGGAATATTAGTCTCTCGGATTTCCAGTATTGGAGCATTAGCCCGGATTTCTTCAAGATTACTCTCCTTATCTTTTGAGTTCCCTACTTTATTATTTTCTAAGAAGATAGCGTGTCTAGTCTCCACAAATTTAGTGACACGGTTTTGAGGAATTTCAATCTAGTTTATCCCCTCCTTCCATCTTTCCTCTACTGCTCGACAAAATAAAATTAGAATGCAACAACAGTAGAGCTTAAAACCTTAATTGGACTCATATCACTTAAAGATTCATCAAGCTGAACCACTTCTCGGTTTAAAATAAAGGCAAATATGGCTTAGGCAGGGATGATGAGATTATGAAGGATGGATTAGGTAAAAGATCAGCTCTGATACCACAATGTTGGAGTTCTAAATTACAGGATCTTATTACTTTAGCTTATAAGCAATTACATTTACTCGAATTACAAATTAATCTACTGACCTGCACTAGAAGCCATTGAAATTGATTCCTCTGTTTTTCTTCTTGCCTTTTCTTCTTCTTCCTTCGGCTTTGCTTTCCTTCTTCACGCCGTTGGCTGAGATAGCGTCACGGCTTTAGGGTTTGGCGAGAGATTAGAGCATTCACTCCTCTCTACGGTTCTTCTATTTATAGCACTGGTGGGACTCGGGAGCTTATCTCCTATAATACTCAAAATTAGTTTTAACCGACGGTGGTAGTGGATCAAGGTGTTGTTTGTTGAGGCCCTCAATACGCATCCCCCAGGGTGCCATTTCCTACCTGCGCTCCATGACCTCGTTGATGCACGACCGTGCCAACGAGAAGCAAACTCGCCAACACAACCGCTGGAGCCAGCTTGCAGCGGCGCCGTATGCGGCGGCATACTGATTCCATGGCATCATGTGCAACAGCCCACATGAGCACGAGCACGAGCCACACGAGCACCGCGAAGGATCCGATCTAGTTGGATCCATAGCTGGTTGACCTGATCTGCTCTCCTCCATGGGTTAATTTCTAGATTATCACCGGATTGGAGCTTTGGAATGTTTGGGCAGGGAGAGATTATCACCGGATTGGAGCTTTGGAATGTTTGGGCAGGGAGAGGGCAAAGGAAGGGGAACGAGGGAAAACGAGAACGTGCGCATGCGGAATTTTCCGGCTGGTCGCGAGAGGAGAGGAGTGGATAGAGGTGGGATTGAGATTTATTTTTGTGGGTCCCACCAAAATCGATTATACGCTGCAGTTATCGAACTAAATATTTCATTCAGTTTCTGTGGTCAAAACACACCGACGGCACACTAATGTTTCTCTTAGAAAAAAAGTTAACAAACTACCTTTGTTCAACGGAAACATATTGTCTGTTTAGTAAATTTTGCACATTCCCTGTGTATTTTTCCTACAAAAATATATTGTTCTGTTCCGAACTATTTTGTAACAATTCGGCCATTCAACAACAAAAATAAAACTTTCTGGAGAAGAAAGGCCCCATCGTTTTCTCCATACAGCATTAGTCGCCGCTAAAATTTAAATTTTAAAACTTAAATATAATATTTGAAGTTTGTTCATCGAAGTTTATTTTTCAGTATTGGTATTTTAAGTCACTAAAATACATATATAAAAGTTTTATATATAAGTTATTATTATTTTGCTGTTATTATTATTTTGTTAATGATACGCTGAATGACCTATTATCCATTTTTAAACTATCGGGACGAAACTTTTCGAGATCCGTTGTACATTTGCAAGTTGTGGCCCCATCAGCTGCTGGCCCCACTATCATTGATGGCCCTAGTTCTAGCTCATCATACTTCAAGAAATAGAGTTCTCATTCCTGATCCGCTCCAAGATACAGTTACTATGATACAGTACATCGTATGCCCGACTTTGCTTCTGCTGTCCGCAACATCAACAGTTAGGGTTTGTCTAGTTCCCAAACAAATTTTTTCACAATGTCACGTGAAATGTTTGGACACATGTATAGAGTATTAAATGTAGAAAAAACCAATTACACAGTTCACCAAGAAATTGCGAGATGAATCTTTTAAGCCTAATTACGCCATGATTTGACAATGTAGTGCTACAGTAAACATTTGCTAATGGTGGATTAATTAGGCTTAATAAATTCGCCTCGCAGTTTCTTGGTATAATCTATAATTTATTTTGTTATTAGACTACGTTTAATACTTCAAATGTGTGTCCGTATAACGGATGTAACATGCAGGGGTAATTTTTTTTTGTCAACTAAACAAGCCCTTACTATGACACAAGTACCTTGGTCGAAACCGAAAGGGGTGTCCTTTCTCTCCACTAGAGGAGTTCGGGCTTCAACACCTATATTCTTACTTACTATCGATCCACAGTTTGAGAAATTTTAACCCTTAAATACCCTTATCTATCACCCACCAATATAACTTTTATAGTAATTAATGGAATTCTGGTCCTTTATTTTGAAATAGAGGGATACATGTGTTTAAGAGTGCTCAACCTGCTGGGCGCATTACTAAAAATGATTTTTTTCTTAGATGCCTCATTTATTTTTACAAACAGGCTATAATGGATACAGTATCCAGTAACGACATATTAGGAAAATCAATTTTCACATATGGTCCTGCTAAGAAGCCAGAGACTGCATTCGTATGTGGCCACAAATCCATCTCTTCCTCTCCTTTTCTCTCATGTTCTTCCCCTTTTTTCTCACAGTCTCCTTTATTTTCCTCTCCTTAGTCTCTCCTTCCTCATCTCCTCTCATTTCGTCTCCTCCCTTTATCTCACCACTCCTCGACAACCAGCCACCAGAGGCCTCAGGAGGAACATGTGGTAGGAGAGGGCGGTGATAGGACCGGCGCTGGCTGCTTGACGAGTGGATCCGCCATCGTTGGATCCCCGATGTGATGATCCGGCAGTGGCAGCTCCACGATGGCTCGATCTAATGGCAGTGGAGGCATCGGATCTAGCGCTACGAGAAGATGTGATGACAATGGCGACAACTAGGATGACAACGATATCCTCAAGAGCGGCGGATCCGGCATTGCTGCCCTAGGGAGGGGTGGTTTGCCACCGGAACTGCGGGGACGACGACGGCGGCCTTGAGTAAGCAGCAGTTTCAAGAATGGCATATCAGCCGCCGTGTTCCTCCAGCTCGGAAGTGGTGGATCCGCGGCCGCTCGGAAAGGGAGTGACCACTAACGACCATGGCAGCCTTTGGAGCGGTGGTGATCACGTGCTCCGAGCACTACCGTAGAAACAACGACGGTTCCTAGGCACGGGAGCGAAGACGGCGGTGGATAAGAGTTAGAGTTTCTATTTTTGGATTTCTTGATTTATATGTGGATATTATGGATACCCCATACCCACACGGCATGTATATTCGACTTAGTATGGGGGTACTATGTATAGATAGAATATCTTTAAAAGGTTTCGGGTTAAATGTCTAAACTTGTATATCAAGGAAGCACCCGGGATTCTAGTAGGTTACGATTGTATCTTATCTGTAACTACCTATTCCGTTAGAGATATGGGTTGTACTTTGTAATACGGACCCCTTCCCCTATATAAGGAGGGGTCCGGGTGCCTCTTGGGACACGATTTTTCTCCCAGATCATACGATCAATAATACACTCGGCGGATCAATCCCCGGACAGGAGTAGGGTATTACATCTTATTAAGAAGGCCTGAACCTGTATAAAATTCTTTGTCTCTAAACCCATCCACTTTTCCATCTTGATAGCCACCCCCTTTTAGTATTGCCGAAATCTTGTTTCGACAGTTGGCGCACCAGGTAGGGGTAGCGTCAAGTTCATCGCTGACTAGTGCGATGGGTTTCGTCTCCGATATCAATGACTTCGTCTTCCCTCCCGGGCAGGCATTCCGGTTGGGCAACCTCGACTTCATCACCAACGACTTCGGCAAGATTTCTCTCCTCGACTCAGATTCGAACCAGTCAGGGAGAGGCCAGGTCTCCGCCCCGTTCGGTATCCCGAACTCGGCCGAGATCTACTCCAAGATCATCTCAACCGAGTCGGCTTCAAACCACTCGGACGAGATTCAATCTACTCCGACACGACTTGATCAAGACGATGGGGCCTATCCCTCAATCCTGATGAACCTCCCCGACGATTTGGCTGCTGTCTTCACCACAAGGGCGTCTTCTCCCTGTAGGCCTAGACGGGATCCGGCCTCGGCCCCAATCCAGTCTTGCTCCAGGGATGTCGGCGTCATACTCCAACCTCTTGGGACAGTTTCGACGGAAGAATTGGATGGCTACCTCAGCTCCCCTGGTGTTGATTCTCGACCGACGGAGATCCTCGAGTACGACGACTTCGGCTACCACTACGACTAGAACAACCTCGACGACTTCGAAGAAGGCTACGAAAACAGCTACACGCCTCTCTTCTTCGGCGTTTTCATGGCTGACAACGAGACGGAAGAACAGCGTCAAGCCCGAGAAACAGAAGAACTGCGCACGCGACAAGAAGCCGAGCGTCGCCGACTGGAGGAGGAGCGTCAAGCACAAGAGCGAGACCGGCTGCAGCGTGAGCAACAGGAGCGTGAACGAGCCGTGAAGGAGGCTGAGGACCGGCAACAGTGCGCCGTGGAGGCTGGGCGACGAGCACGAGAACTTATCAGACAACAAGACGTTGAAGGGACGGCGGTTTTTCACACCCCGCAGCAGAACGCGATAGCAGCGATCACCCTTCTTGACACTCTACTTAAGGAAGACGCACCCAATCACGTCGTCAACATCTTAAACCAGACCAAGACCATGATCGCCGCCTCGGTCCCAGTCAACGCCTCAAGTGTCCGTACGCCGACTGGCAGCCGAGTTCCGCCTCTTCGATCTCAAGACTATCATCAACCAAGCCTCAGCGTTGCCGGCGCGGGATCTAGTCGCAGGAACAGGGACCATGGTGAACGATCTATTCACTCGCCTGCCGACCGACACAGGGAGCGTTAGGCTGAACAGCCCCGCTCTCCACGTCGCAGGCGTCCCGTCGATCTTCGCGATACTATCAACCAGCGTCGTGCGGTGAGAGGCCACATCCCCCATCATTCACCAGATCGTTACGACGACGATGTGGATGGAGTTGTTGCCTTCACAAGTGACTTGCGTCGAGTGGATTGGCCAACCAGCTTCAAACCGACTGGAATCGAGAAGTACGAAGGCATGAAAAATCCCGAGTCTTGGGTCACCGTCTACAGTTTTGCAATTCACGCAGTAGGAGGAGATAGCAAAGCCATGGCTAATTATCTACCAGTGGCCCTAGCAGACTCTGCCTGGTCCTGGCTTCACGGGTTACCCCATGGCACGATTCGATCTTGGGCAGTGCTTCGCGACCACTTCATCGCCAACTTCCAGGGCACTTTTGAATGCCCTGGTACCTAGTTTGATCTTTACAACGTTATCCAGAAGTCCGGAGAATCTCTCCGAGATTACATCCGACGTTTCTCTGAACAACGTAACAAGATCTCAGACATCACCGACGACATTATCATCGCCACCTTCACTAAGGGTATTTGCCATGAACTCTTAGTCGGCAAGTTTGGACACAAGCCTCTCAAGACAGTCAAGCAAATGTTTGAAAAGGCCAATGAGTACGCCAAAGCAGAAGACGCTGTCACTGCATCCAAGCAGTCGGGCAGCACCTGGAAACCAAAGAAAGATGCGCCGACTACAGGGGGGAGTGGAAGTGCCAATCGCAAGGATCGCAAGCGTAAGCCCGAAGAAATTGTGGCAACTACTACACCATCCTCCCGACAACGTTCACGCGTCAACACCTTCAGCAAGATCATGAACTCCCAATGCCCACGTCATCTGAATTAAAATCACACGGCCAAAGATTGCTTCGTCTACAAACAGTTCGCAGAGCAATATGCCAAGAACGCACGGAAGCTGACTGACGGAGATCAAAGCACGTCGAAGAAGAAGGATGATGAAGACGATGCCCCGACTGGTTTTTAAGACTCCCGTAACGAACTCAACCACATCTTTGGTGGGCCCCTGGCTTACGAATCCAAACGAAAGCAAAAGCTGACTGAACGGGAGATCAATGCTGTTTAGCCCGATACGCCCCAACATCTTCGGTGGTCAGAGACAGCTATCAAGTTTGACCGCTCGGTTCATCCTGACCGAGTGGTCCATCCGGGGTGGTACCCCCTGGTACTAGACCCAGTGGTTCGCAACGTCAAGCTCCAACGATCTCTCATCGATGGTGGCAGCGCACTCAATATCCTTTTCGCCATGACTCTGGATGACATGCAGATCCCTTGGACCGAGCTGAAGCCGAGTACTGCGCCCTTTCACAGAGTCATCCCCGGGCTATCTTCTACTCCGCTCGGCCAGATCACTTTGCCGGTTACCTTCGGCACTCGGGAGAACTTTCGCACAGAGAACATTTGCTTCGAAGTTGCTGATTTCGAGACAGCGTACCTTGCTATACTCGGATGGCCGGCGTTAGCCAAGTTTATGGCCGTCCCACACTATACCTACATGATGATTAAGATTCTAGGACCTCGAGGAGTCATATCTCTGCGGAGCGACATCAAGCAGGTCGTCAGCTGCGATAAGGAAAGCTACGAGATGGCCCAAACACGCGAGATCACGCTCGCTCAAGAGGAGATCCGACTGGCTGCATCAACAGCAACCGAAGGAGAAGTGCCTGCACCCAAGTTACCAAAGAGCGGAGAAAGCGATGCCAAAACCAAGAAAATCCCTCTAGATCCCTCTGTCCCACTAAGACTGTTGTAATAGGCGCCGAGTTAGATTGTAAATAGGAAAGCGCTCATCACCTTTCTTCAAAATAATAAAGATATTTTTGCGTGGAAACCATCTGATATGCCTGGTATTCCTAGGGAGGTGATTGAGCACTATTTACATGTTAAGGAAGATGCTAAACCCATTAATCAGCGACTCCGCCGTTTTGCATAGGATAGGAAGGATGCCATCAAGGAGGAATTGACCAAGCTGCTAGCAGCAGGCTTCATCAAGGAAGTCCTACATCCCGACTGGCTGGTAAACCCAGTCCTGGTTCGGAAGAA